GGGGGAGAGCCGGGGGAGGAGAGAAAGGCTGGGGGAGAGAGAAGGTCGAGGCCCGCTTGATATAGGCCCGGCGGGGCGTACGGACAGGTCGGAGGGATCGGTCCGGAGCGCCGATGGGCCCGCGGCTTCGGATGGGTCGGGTCGTGCCGTGGTCGGACTGTATGCGTCTATGAAAGTCAGTAGCACATAGGGAGCACAAATATAATAGAGGCGCCTGAGCACGCCTCTATGCACATGTTCATTTGGTCGTTGGCGCAGGCCTTGCGCGACTCGAACCTCCACCTCAAAGCATCCGGGGAACGGAAGATCGCAAAAGAGAAACATCCGCACGAACGCTGTACGCCTGACCCAGAACCCTCATCACGGGTACCTAGGAGCGCAGATACCGACGCGTCTGGACGTAAAACGAAGGTAGACCCTGCCCAGAGGACGCAGCAGGGTGCGGTCTTCGCCGTACATGAAAGATTGCCGGGGGGCAGCTGCGCGCGCGATAACGCACAACGACATTGAAAACACTTGAGCTTGAAAGATTGAGCCGTAGGAACGGTACCGGGATTGTGTGAGCAATGTCCGTGGCAGGCAAGATGACCTGGGTCAAGGACAGTGTCAGTACTCGAATCTGTACATGCACGAAGGAGGGAAAGTTACCTGGAAGGTAGAATAGATTCAACAAGCTTCACATACACGTACCGCAATAAACTGGAGAGACTCGAAGGGCACACGCGAAAATGACAACAAAACAAGATCTTCGCACTCGCAGGCGTACAATGCGAAAAGTAACCGTAACAGGTAACCGGTACTCAAAATCAAGAGAAGGAAGGAAAAGAAAGATTAAGTACACACACGCGAGTATCGAGCGGGTATGCGAAGTACGGCGTAAGATGAATCAAAGCCATGCCCGCCGTTGGCGGGCCTCGAAAAACCTGAATATGAACCAAGGGGAAGAGAAGCGAGGAAGATGGGGTGAACGGGGAAGATGAAGAAGGGGATGAAGGGATGAAGGTAAGCTGGCGCGAAGGTGGCGCGGGAGGATGTGAGAGGGGTGCAAAGGTGAAGGGAGGTTGTGAGGGTAAGGCTGGGGTATGATGCGCGTGGCCACGTTTAGATGATAAGTTATGAACGAGCGACGAAGGGGCGAAATGGTCCAGGTGGGATGTCAACGGAGATACGATTCAGTAGATGAGGTTCGAGTACATGGTTGAGAGAATCGAGGATGTCGGGCTTTTACTCGTTCGCGACCTGCAACACGGCGTCAGATACGCACTCTCGTCCAAGCCAACGCAAGACGTACCCTAAGCACCCTCGGGTTCCGCTCCTCGCCCTCCTCATCCTCACTCTCCTCCTCGCCCCCAACCGCATACCCGCCCTCATACGCCCTCTCATCGCCCTCATCGTCCGTCGAATGGCGCCCCACAAGCGCAGCCTGGCTGGACGCTGCAGGCGGAGCCGCCGACGCCGACGCCGAATGCGGGTTCGGCAACGCAGACTCGGGTCCGCTGCCGCCGTAGGGCTCATTATATTCTTGTCCACCCGCGTACGGCGCGTTCTGCCCTTGTCCGGGGTGCAACGCGCCAGGTAAAGGCGGCAACGGCGCTTGAGTCTGCGGCTGTGGGTATCCCGGCGGAACGAACGGTTGCCCAGGCTGATTCACATATCCCCCATCTCCCCCGCCCAGGACCTGCCCCCTACTCCCGCTCCTCTGCAGATTCGGATTACTAGGGTACCGCATGCTCGGGCCCCGCGCAATCGCGTACGGATCGTCGCCCGCGCCATATCCGCCGAGGATGGGGTCGTACTGGTACGGCCCCGTCGAGCGGCGGTAGCGCAGGTTGTTGTTCGCGTCGGACGACATCTCGTATGCGTTGGCTGCGTCGGCCGGCATGGGTTGGGCTTGGGCGGGGTACGGCTCGCCCGACCCCATACTCCGCTGGCTCTTCGCCCTGCTCATCGCGCCAGCGCCCACACCCGCCGCGCCCGCCGCCCCAACAGCCGCGAACGTATTATACCCATGCGAATCCGCATGCCCCAGCGGCGGCTGGCCGAGCGTCCCATGGCTCGTCTCGCTATACGCCCCGAAGCTCCCCACGCCCCCTCCCGCCCCGCTCGTCCCGCCCGTCGCGTTCGAGCGGTAGTCGTACTCGTCGTCCGCGAGAAAGTCCGGGTTCGCGCCCGCCGCGGCGGCCTCGGCGGCGGCCTGGTCGACCTCGTCGTCGAACTTCTTTTCGCGCCGGCGCCGGACGAGGCGCGTGGCGAGGAAGATGAGGAAGATGAGGACGACTACGCCGACGGCTGTGAATGTGCCGGCGACTGCGCCTTTGTTGTCGAAGAACCTGGGGGCGCGAGCATCAGCGAGCGCTCGTAGTGACATAGAGTGAGAGCAGTGGGGAGGGGACGTACGACGTCGAGTCGCGGGTGGACGCTGCCGCGGTGGCCGTCGAGCCCGCGGTCTGGGTGTTGGTGGCGATGACGAAGGACGTGATAGTCCGTCCGTCGGACTGGGTGACAAAGAGCGTGGACGTCGAGCTTGGCGCTGCCGTGGTCGAGCTTGGCGCCGCGGGCGCGCTCGTGGACGTCGTCGAGCCTGTCGTGGAGGACGCGGTCGTCGAAGACGCGGTCGTGGAGGTGGAGGTGGTGGAAGTGGAGGTGTCGGAGGTGGAGGTGGGCGTCGTCGACGTCTCGGTCGTGGATGTCGAGGTGGGCGTGGTGGAGGTGGGCGTGTCCGACGTCGAGGTTGACGTCGGCGTCGTGGACGTCGCTTCGGCCGTCGTCCTGTGTGCCCGAATCAGTCCCTCAACTCTCTAAATGAGAATAGCACACTCACGACGTCTCGCCCGGTATCGAAACTACAAGCAAGCCATGTTCACATCCAACGACTCTATAAGAACTGCAAGTAAAAGCACGTACACGAGATACTCGAGTCCGACATTTGTGTCTTTTGGGTGGTGTGTGTAAAGAGTGTAGGTGACTGTCAGCAAAGACAGCAGTTGGGTCGGGGAGGCAGTACAGCCGGGGTTGCACGCTCAAGCTCGGACGGTCTGAATTCTCTTCTCGTCGTCGTCTGGGCACAAAGCACAAGCTCGGTCCGTCAGCTGTCCGTCCGTTCCGGCCTCCGACCCCGCGTCCACACGACAACGACCCGCTTACGTAAACATCACCGCCGCGAATCGGCCGCTTTGGGCCTTCTTTTCATTTACCCCGCTTGCCTCTTGCGGTCACGTATAGACTCTTGGCCACACTGCAGCGGGTGGCGAGTTGTATGGCGGGCGTCTCACAGACTCGGGCACAGTGTCGCTCGAGTTCGGACGTGGCAAAACATACACGGTCTCTTGCAGAAGAGGACAATCTACTACAGGCCACGCGAACATCTCTCCCTCCCTCGCCTGGTGCGGTCGTCCACCCCACGGACGCGCAGTCCTCTTCCCTCGTCACAGTCGCACTGCGCTGCAACTGCGCTGACAGCCAGTCTCGCCCCGTTCTTTCTTACGCAGATCGCCACCTGTAAGTTTAACTACCCACTCAAGAGATGGCTCTTCCGGCCAGGCAGTGCGACCGGCAGACGATCGTGATGAGCGTAGATGATCGATGATCTGCGCTCTCGAGTATGATGATCCCACGAGCGACGGTCTGACCCGCATGTAACAACCGTGACCATAGACGCAACAACGCTGTGCTGCTGCAGTAACCCTGAATGGACTTGTGTCGGTCACCACTTGGAGAGCATTTCCAAACGTGCGGTAGCTTGGAATGGGTACCATGAAGTCGATACAGTACAAAAGCTGCCCACAAGTGACGACATACTGTAGGAAGATCTCCCGGGCATTGGCGTACCCATATAGAGGTATAAACAACGCCAGAGTCAACGAGCAGCTTTGCACATAGGCGTGAGGAGTTGCGATCGGGAAGAACGCCTATAGCATTTGCCGCGTCAGGAAAGTACAGACAGATATGTAGCGGATCTTCGAAGACCATTGTGCGTTTCCCTGCGCAATGCATGCTCGTATGCATTGGAGCGACACACAGCCGAAGCTGAACGAGTCGCCCTGCGCGTTCGAGTTCGCCACATCCTCAACTGATCCGCGCCCGTTCATTTCGCTATAGACAGGCAACACTCTGCGTCTTAGACTGTATGGACGGCGCAGGCGTGAAATACAAGGACTGGATTCAGTCTCAAGAGGATAATGGCAGTAATGTAGGAAGTATTGTTGTGCAACTCGTCTGCCCCGCCGATGTGGGGGGAGGAAGACGAGCGCAAGCCGGCCGCGTTTTCGGCCGACGGACATTCCCACGCCGCACTGACATGCTCATCACACTCCGGTTCCCCCGAGCTCGAGCTCTTCCCGAACGCTCATTGTTCCCGCCTCTCCCATCTGCGAATATACATTCTGGCTTGCTTTCAACGTCGATACGATCAAGTAACCGGAGCTGTCTGCTCTGCGTCAACTTGCGCGTGACGTATAGTACATGTTCGGTTCATTCGTGGCTTCGCTAGAAGCGAACCATTGCCCGTCCGACCAGCTTCCCATCCAGCATATCCGCATACGTTCTGCAGGCCAATGAGATAACACAGTTGAATGAAGATCTTGTTACGACTCACTGATTCAGATCCTCGAGCTTGCATGGGATCGTGGAGGCATGAACCTTTCCCCGCGCGACGAGGTCGAGCGCTTCGACCGCATCTTGCAGATTCCTGCGTTGGCGTCAGCTAACCTCGCGTCGGTTCACCGTACAATCTGTTACCCTAGAACACTGCCTTGTATCCTCAGGCACTACGAGGAAGGATGCTGAGCGTTGCTCGCCGGCGTCAAGTGGTAAACATACCTTGGACACGATCGCAAAGATGGGTGTCTGGAACGTCGATCCAGGACCGGTCTTCGGTGGGAGCCCGATGGCGGCTAACGTCCCGAACGGGCGCAGATACAACACAGCCGCATCGTACGCGGCCGACTATAGAGATGCAGTGAGCCCAGACGCTGCTTGATGACTCTTGTGAACGCCGACTTACTGAAGGTGTAGTGATGAGCGCCGCATGCGGTCCAGGTGCGCCTGACGCCGCGACGACGTCCTCCACGAGGTTCTTGCTGGTCTTGAAGTCGATCCACTTCTCGGCGCCGAGCTTCGTGCAGGCGTCTTTTTTGTCGTCGCCGGTGTCTACAAGTCGTTAGCCTGAGGCCCCATCTAGTTAACCTCCCATCCAGATTGCGCACCAACTGCGATGACGCGTAGGCCCATGGCGACGGCGTACTGGATGGCTGATATGGGCTTCTATCAGTAACGCCGGGCGCTTCCGACCATCGGATAGGCGGCGCACCTAAATGTCCAAGCCCGCCACCTGCGCCAGGGATAACGATCCAGTCGCCGACCTTGGTCTCCGATACCTTCAAACCTTTGTACACGGTCAAGCCAGCGCACAAAATCGGAACTGCAGCCTCGTCGGACATCCCTTCCGGGATTGGTACGAGATGGTCCGACCATGCGACCTTGAGAACGACCGGCAACCGTGAGTAGATGCGGCCGACTTCTATGTACGGAGGCGCTGATTACCATGTACTCCTGGAACGTACCATCGACCAACATCCCCGTGCGAGGCGCTTTAGCGCACACTATACACTCCGTCGTCAGCAATCTGATAGCGGCGTACGCGCGCCCCGCCACAGCAGATCTCTCACCGGAATCGCGCCCCGTCCTGCAGAACTCGCACCGGCCGCACGAGGTCAGAATCCACTTGACGCCCACCCGGCTCCCAAGCCTCACATCGTCGCTCTCCCTCGTCCCGGGCGCAACGGCGACGATGATCCCTACGCCCTCGTGGCCGCCGACGAACGGCAGTGGGCGGTGCACCCACTCCCCGCGGACGATGTGCAGGTCCGAGTGGCAGATCCCGGTGCAGTTCAGCTTGACGATGACTTGGCCGGGCTCGAGGGAGGAGGGCTGTGGGACGGGGTAGTCGGTTTGGATGGACACGGGTTCGCTGTACGAGATTGTCACTGCAGCCTTCTGCGTCTGCGGGATGTCGTATGTGGCGGCCATGTTCGCTATCAGCCGTGCAAAAGACGATGAAACCTTGAGAGAGATCAGCTGCAGTCTGGCTCCCTCCGTACTTGTACTGCTGTACAGTGCTTGCACGCGTGAATACGTCATGGAATACAGGTCACAAGGACTTCTGCAGTATCATTTTCGAAGCCTGGCTGCCCGACGAAGCCTCCCGAGCGTCGGGCACACGGCCAGGTCGAATACCGAAAGGGGTCTGCTGATCGCCACAGGCTTCTCTGTGGCGCCGACTCGTCATCTCATCAACATGATGTTAGCGGAAACCCGAACGTCGCCGTACGCGACTCGCAGGGATCCCGCGTGTGAGAGGATAACAACGTGTATGATGAATAAATATATATGATGAGGTGATACACACAGACAGATATGATGAATACAGGACAGTATCGATCACGATGCTTCCTGGTCTCAAGACCCAAGAGAGAGATAATGAGATGCAGATTATATGCGGGTGAGAGTAGTGTCCAAGACAGATGAGGATGAGAATGAAAGACGAGAGTGGGCCACGAGCATAGTTAGGGATTAGAGGGAAGTGTATCTTGACAACCGAGCACCGAGAGATGGAATGAGTGTGGGAGGATTGAAGAGATCAGAATGCGCCGGGGTTCGCGGCGAGGAACTTGTCGTATGCAGGGCAAAGAGCCTCATACGATGCTGTAGGTGATTGTCAGTGATCAGAAGACTAGGAAAGGCAAAGGATCTACACACCGTCAACGTGGTTGGCTGCAGCAACTTGCTTAGGGTCCTCGGCGAAGACGACTGCGAGACCCTGAGAAAGTATCAGTACAGACTCGCGACGTGGGACAGCTCAGAGGGCACGAACCTCGGCCAAGTGCCAGTCGATGTGGCTGCGGGACATGATCAGTAAGGAATGTAAAGCGGGGAAAGCGACACGCACCAGTGGAAGATCCACGGGCCGGGGTTGTCGGTCCTGAAGCGGATGGTAACCTCGTCGGTAGTCGAGTTGCCGACGCTGACAACATCACGGAGAACGGGGTTGACAATGTTCTCAGACGAGTTTCCGGCGCTCCGAATAACCCAGAACTGATGACCGTGGAGATGCATGGGGTGCTATGACAGGATGAGCTTCGAAGTCGGTGCTGATGAAGGATATCACGTACAGGACCACCGAGAGAGCCACCAGGAACGACAAGGTCGATGGTAGTGTTCGGCTCAAGAGTGTAGATGCTGCCCTTGGGAATGAGGTCCTGCGTTGTGGTGTTGCCGGCGAGGAGCTGGAGAAGGACGGGAATCTTCGGCGGAACGAAAGAAGTGCCGTTGATAAAGAAAGTGCCAGTGTTTGCCGTGTTGTTCAATACCTGTTGAGGCAAAGCGTCAGCAACGGTCGTGCGTAATCACAAATATGGAGGACGTACCAGGTTGATCGGGAGTCTGATAACCGTGTCCGCCTTCGCTGGAGGTGGGCTCGGGACAAGCGGGTGAAGGTTCGTCTCAATTAGAGGGAGAACAGAGGGCTTGAGCGGTGTAGTCGGGTCCTGTTCCTTGGCCCCCTTGTAGCGGAGAATGGCGCTGTTGAGACCGTTGGTGAAGTTCTCGTTGTTGAAGTTCTCGCTCGAGGAGTTCGGGAGAGAGCGGATCCCTTGAGAAGGATTAGTGATGAGTACCGGATGTATGATAAGCGTGCTGTGACGTACAGTAGTTGTCGATGGGCTGGTTGGCATTCAGAACGAACGAGTAACGCTGACCCGCGAAGATCTGAATCGAGTCAACGAGAAGCGGTTCCAAGCTTCCTCCGTCGGCTGCAAGTCATCAGTTGAGCAACGCCATGACTGGATGAGAGCCTGCTTTACCTTCAATGACCGTCATCTGATGCTGGTCAATGCTGAAGATGAAGTTCTGCAAGCTCGTCAGTTGGCAAGTCGTCAGTCAAACTAGCAGTGCACGTACGGGGTCACACGCGATGTTGAACAAGCGCATGCGGTAGCGGGTGCCTTTCTCGACGTTCACCACAGCGAGGGCGTGGGAGAAGTCTTGACCAACGAAGTCGTGGTAGCGCCCGGCTCCGTTAATAAGGGTGGAGTTGGCGTATACTGCGTGTGTCTTAGTATGTGAGAGATGAAAGAAAGGATATGTATAAACCAATGTTGGGGAACTGAGGAGACAAGAAGTGGTACCAATCTGCCAGGGTGATGACCGTATCTTCGTTGTCGACGTCGTATAGGTGCTTGAGAGGGTCCTCAGGGTCGTATATGACGAGGGGTCCTCGCAATCCATCACCTAGGGTAGGTTAACTTGTGTCAGCTGAAGTCTACATCGGTCCTTGAAAACGTACAGTATTGCGTGGAGTAGTGCCTACGCGAAATCAATCAGTGCGCTGCGAAACCAGAGGAAAGTCATGGATGCTCACGAGTGGTACCAGTAGTTCCCGGTCTGGGTGGTGGTGGCGAACTTGTATGTGAATCGGTTCCCTACGGTCGCGACCGACAGTGAGATGGAGAACCACATGGAGCTCAGAATGGCAGATGCGTTACCTGGAACGATGGGGCATTGGCCGACTTGAGCTACTCCGTCCATCTCTGCGGTACCCTTCTGGAAGAGCCCGTGCCAGTGCTGTAGATCGATGAGCATGGTCTTTCGCATAGATTGTGGCGCCTGATGCTCACAATCGAAGTCTCAAGCGCAAGCTGGTCGTATGTGAGGTTGTCGATCACCTCGATCTCGAATTCATCGCCCTATATGATCGCTAAGGACGGCAACCATGAAGACACGACAAGGTCTGCTCACCTTGTTGGCCGTGATCAAAGGGGCAGGGAATTGGCCATTGACCAAGGTTCCGCTGTGCGCAGGTCAGTCATCGGCACGTCCTGGGATGGAGTGACGGAAAGCGTACATTCGCTTGAATCCGTCTGGGCTAAGCTCGGCGTTGGCGATGGTAAGCTGCTTGGTAACAGTGGCAGCAAATGCTCCTGTTGCAAGAAGAGCAAGCGAGGAGAGAGAAGACCGAAACATGGTAATGAAGGGCGGGAGGGAGAGATAGGACGCAGAAACCACTGAAGGTAGTGAGGACTCCTGGCAGCACTCAGTCCGGTTTATATACACGTAGCACAATGCGACTACGCAGAGCGCTTCCGGCTGTAAGTCCCAAGTGCACTGATTGTTCTGACAGACGGCACTCACAGCCGAGGCACGCAGCTCGCATCCTGCTGAATCCGGAGGTGGTTGAGACGCGTCGAGAAAGAGACGCTCAGGTGCGCCCAAAGTAATGGAGGTGATCGAGCTCAATGCGGTGTTGTGGCGGACGACCGCATGGTCACCCGAACAGGCGCCAGAGCGCATCTCGAGTAGAGCGACCTTAACGAAGGACATCAGGCCCACACGGTATCCGTTCAATGCGGGGTATATTGATTCGCGTTACGGCGTTCTCGGTGGACACAGGTCGGCGGTAGGGTATTACATCATCAATGCAGTCAGTACTGCTTCAGTAGCGGCGGGAAATCGACGGCGCGCGTATGTCACTTCATGATGGTAGAGAGCAAGAAGTTCAGATTCGATGCCAGCGAGCGCGCGCCCTCGATTCGGGCTTTGCCGCCGCGGGTCGCGTCAATTTCAGTCCTTCAGATTCTGCTCGTCGACCAGGACCGCGACCATCGTGCCCGGCATATTTGGCTCACCGCTGTACCTCGGTCTGCGATCCAGATATCCGAGCTCAGCCTTGAAACCTGAGGCAATAGCTGTGTCTCTGGGCGCTTGAACTTGTCGAGAGTCATAGAGATCCCTTTTGGCGCCCACTCAGCCTGCAGTCTGAACGCCGCCGCGGATAACCGGAGTGCGCGCCGACGCCTCCAGCTGTATACTTAGGACACATTCCCATACCAGTCTATTCCATGTACGCTGAACTCTCCCTGAGTGTGTTCCTTCGCGCCAGGGCCATGATCGAGGATGGATAGGCGTATGTCCCACTGCTGAGTCCGCGATGGCATAAGCATTCATCGGGTCGGTCATGATGTCCATCGTTCCTCTACCCTACGCACCTGCATCCTGATAGGGCTATGTCCATTCAGAATGATGGTGGAATCAAACGGCCGCCGTGCGAAACGAGCTCTGAGGCGGGCCAGCAGGCGCTGTTACTGCTCCCGGCCCGAGCTTTACGGTGATCAAACCGGCAGTCACAGTATGTAAATGACGTAGCTTCAGCTTCAGCACCGCTCAGTGCTACCGCGGAGGTACACCATTGCTCTGGTCTCCGGCTTTGAATTTGATACTTCTCTAGCTGACTCCCGGTTCAGTAAGACACGGCTCAAGCAAAAGCGACGACCCCACGTGACCCGCGTCGCTCGGTTCTAGGATCAGTATTTTGGGATCTCATCCCTCAAATCACTACGGACAGGCCCGGCAATGTGCGCGCTGGGGAGCTGATGCGAGCGCGCAGAGATTGACGGTTACCGAATTTTCAAATTCGCGTTCGTTCGGGAGCGACACACCTGTGATGCCCTCAGAGCTCAATCTTGCAGGATAGCATTTACTTGTACCACCTTTTGTATACGCTCCCTGTAGTTCTCATAGTATATATCTACGTGCTTTGAGTACTACGTGAAGGCAAATGCTAGGTCATCCAATGCAAGCTCGGTGTTTGGTTCGAGCAGGTTCAAGGAGCTCATCGCCGTACTTTAGCAGGCTACGTAGAACTACCTCGCCGCGCCCTTCAGGCAAGTTCAGTCGCCCATAGCCCGTGGAGTAGCACATACATGGGAATGAGAGACTCAGATTTTCTATTATACTGTATCTCGACCTACAACAGCCGGTGTGCGATGAGCCGCTTTGTTTGCCATCCAACCCCGCCGTCCCCGAACGAACGCGAATTTGAAAATTCGGTAACCGTCAATCTCTGCGCGCTCGCATCAGCTCTCCAGCGCGCACATTGCCGGGACTGTCCATAGTGATTTGAGGGTAGAGATCCCAAAATACTGATTCTAGAGCCGAGCGACGCGGGTCACGTGGGGTCGTCGCTTTTGCTTGAGCCGTGTCTTATTACATGTAACACCTGGATCGGGACTAGGCTGATGTATTGTGAAGCATATACTCGACGCTAACCGTGCATTCAACCCACCCTGACCCATACAGATACAACGAGTGACCCGGGACCATCTGCCCTGTGAACAACGCCGCATGCTCTGCTGCTTGAGCGTATGATGGGGAACGTCAGCCACCATCATCGCGCTTTCGAGTAGCCTGAACCCTACTACTCTCATCTCCGAGTCCAGGTACATCGAGACCGTTGACATCGTAGTGATGCCAGGTGATGCCCCATATGTGCCTTCCAATGTCTGGCTAACGGCTCGACCCTGCGGTTGCCTTGATTCTTCAGCCTCAAACAGCAATTCGGTAGTCGTATGCTGACGGATGAACCCCTTTGGGTCGTGCATTCCCTCTTACGAGAACCGTAAGGAACCACTGTCCCGATGTCAACCCTGTCCAATATGATGCTCTGCCGCGGTGAGAGATCAAAGTTTGCACGGAGTTACATGAGGGGCTCATTGTTCGCGATGATCGGTTCCCGCTCTACCCGACTCGCATCCCTTTCCGAAACGGAAACTTACTTACCTGTGGCGCTGCTTCGATTCAGGTTCGCTGCTGTATAGAGCTTGGCGTACCTGGAAGATATCCGCATCCAGCTGTCGAGGACAGACAGTTCATACATGTCAGGGCGACATCGCCATAGAGCACATGCGGCACCTTTCTCGAGCTGAGGTAACCTGAGGTAGCGGCTCCGAGCGTACAGTTATAGGAACTGACAATACCTGACACGTCTTCTCAAGGTACTCGGTCCAAGAGCACCGCGGCAGGTTGACATTCGTGGATGCGTGCTACGGATGCTCAGGACCTCCGGTTGACTCTTGTACCTGTGCCATAGATCTGGTGCTACCCGTGAGAGTGTTTGAGGTACTGTGACATGAACGTCGCCGAGACCATCGGGATAAACACCAGCCTCACCATTGAAACTTGTTATTATAAATAATATATACCCGTACGAGCTAAGCCCTTGGGCCAAAGTACGGGGAGACTGGCTCAGCTCACCCTTCGCTCTGTTCACATTGAGATGTGTTACCGAGACCCACAGACTGAGTCTGCACACCAATGCTACCTTGAGAAGTACAAGCGCCAAGTCGCGGCAAGCAGAAAGACGGGAATTGCCGAGAGTCCACGTGGAGCGCGTTTGATGCGCGACGCGTCAATAATTGGAAGTTCGTCGCGACCACCACCTTCAGCTTCAGCCATGAGCAGACGTAGAGACAACAACATCCAGGGGCCCACCTCGGCACTGACATCCTTCTTGAAGGTACACAACGCGTTGACTTGCACATCAATGGAGCCATAACGGTATACTCTAGGAACATAACATCACGGCTGCGAGTATCTCGCGACGCGCCGCGACGCGAAACCGATCCCAGTTGGCCGAAGAAGTCCCTCAGGCTGGACCCAGCACCGCCACGGCTGATGCAGAAGAAGCGCCGGAGGAAGAAGCGCCCGGTCCAAGTCGACGTACGCGTTCGCGGGGGGTACGTCCTATTTCCATGCTGACAAAAGCAACTGTCTCACCGTATCATCTAGGGAGATGCCGAGTATAACTCGGACGAACTCGACGAAGAAGGCGAAGAAGCTGCTGCAGGGCCTTCGCGGAAGAAGCCGAAGCTCTCCAAGGCCGCTGAGGCGAAAGCTAAGGCTAAGGCCAAAGCGAAGGCCAAGGCCAAAGCGAAGAAGGGCGACAACGACGACTATAACGGGAGCACAGACGAGGACGAAGAGGCTTACAATGCCCCATCGAAGTCTTTCTTTCGTACAGGAGCTGCTGCTAAGCCGCCAAACGGAAGTTTCGAGAAATGCGCACGATGCACACAGCAATTCACCGTTGTACGTGCTACTCCTTACGTCGTTTGGTGACAGTCGTTGATCGCGGGTTTTCATACCTTATAGACTCAGTATACGATGGCTGCCAATCCTGGTCCTGGGTTCTTGTGTCACAAGTGCGCGAAGGAGTCCGGCATTGACCCGTTCAAGAAGCCTACTGCACCGCGCAAGCGCAAGGCTCCGGGCGAGAAGCGCGCCGTGACGTTCTTTGAAGAGAGACGGCTGCCTACGCTTGTCTCTCTCTGTGTCAAGGTAGATCTTAGGCCTACGAGACACTGGATAGTATGACTCAACCGTGTTGCAGGCCATCTCCGCACATATCGATGACGTCGAGGCACTAGGCGATCTCGGAAGCGTAAACGTGGATAACATCATTCGCTCACTGTCGCGCATCCGTAGCTTGACCCCGGAGAACGCCACACTATTCTATGGTGCTCGTAATAAGAGTCTCACTCTCTACGATGCGACCAGTACGCGGTTTTTCGATTGCTTCACCTCCTGTCGATGCTGATCAGACTATCTTGCAGAACTTCCGCCACCCGCCTTATCCTCCCTCGCCATGTTGAACCCCAACCTTACCTCACTTCGCCTCGACTTCTGTGGGCGTATGAACGACAGCGTACTTGAGACGTGGTCCACCTGCCTCCCCGCGTTGACGCATATCGACTTACATGGTCCCTATCTCGTACACTCGGCCGCCTGGATCGCCTTCTTCGAAGCCCACCCAGATCTCGAGACCTTCCGCATCCTCCAAAGCCCACGGTTCGACTTGGCTTCCGTCGAGGCGCTTGTCAAGAACTGCGACGGTCTACAGAACTTACGGCTCAGGGAACTCGGACAACTCAACGACGCATTCCTCGAGGAGATCGGGAAGCTGGAGCATATCACCTCGCTCGACCTCGCCGATCCCGCGAAGTCATGTTCCGAAGAGGCGCTCTCGGTCCTACTATCCAAGCTCGGGCCGAACTTGCGCGAACTCGATCTCTCTGGCCACCTCGACTTGAAGGATGCATTCTTGGCCACTGCGCTCGCGGAGCATTGTGTCGGTCTGGCCGGCCTCGCGTTGGACGATGTGCCCGAGATAACGGACGCAGGGCTTGCCGCGCTCTTTGATGCCTGGTGCGATGGCGGACACGCCATGACCATGTCCTCACTCTCATTCAAACGCAACTGCGAGCTCGGTGATGCCGCACTTGCGGCGCTACTGGCCACGTGCGGACGCTCGCTCGAGCACCTCGATATCAACGGCTGGCTGCATACGAAGGCGGAGACACTTAGCGCCATTGGAGCTCGTGCGAGGGAGTTGAGAATGGTCGATGTAGGATTCAACCGAGAGGTGACTGATGTGGCCGTGGGCCAGATCTTGGATGGTTGTGAGAAGTTGTTGGAGGTGCGAGTGTGGGGATGCAATCGTGTTACGGTGAACTGCCCACGGAAGGTGAGCCCAGAGGCTGAGAATTAAAGTGCGCGAATGCTGATATGTTGATAGCGCGGCGTTGCGATCTACGGCATCGAGTCGCTTTCCTCTGCGTAGATCAAGCATCTTGAGCATTGTCACCATTCGCGTTGTTGACTGCAAGCCTGTCGTTATGGCGCACGCACCTGCCAATGCATATATATGGAGCGAGTATTATCAAGGGACATGGCCAGTACACGTAATTTTGCTTAGGTTAATGAAGATGGTATCCATTGATAGCTACGGTCATAGGATATGTAGGAGTGTGCCAAATGTACGCGCTCGTCAGACGCAGCCTTGCTCGGGACGAATCGCAGCGCTGTAACGTGTTGAGATCACGGCTCAACACGCAATGCTACCAAGGCTTGATAGGCCGCGTTGCGTTTGGCTAGCCCTTTTGCAACCCCCTGACCTCGACCGATGACCTGACCGTTCACTATCTCTTCATCAGTTTTCCTTGACATGGACTTGATGTGAAGGGAACGACGTACGGGTGGCGGTAGCATAATGCATTATACTGTGGGGAGGCCCATCACTAGTTAGTTGCCATTTGAAGCCACTTAATTGACGTAATCTCGCAAGATAGTTGTGCAGTCGCATCTCGTAGTCTGTTCCAGAACTTCCAGCCCTCCTTCTAACGTCAGCGCCGGGGGCTGCATCAATGGCTTTAGTGTCGCCCTGGGTCTCATCGCCTCCAGTGATAAACTCGGCCTCAGAGTCTGTACCTGCAGGTGCCGCCGCGTTATCTAGCGGTGACTCGCTGGGGGACAGTTCACGTGCAAGACCGGCTCCCCCTTCCTCACCAGCGCCGGGCGCCGCATCATCAGCTTCAGTATCGCCCTGGGTGTGAGGATCAGCCTCAGACTCTGTACCTGCGGGCGGTCGCTCGCTAGGTGACGGTTCGCGTTCAACAGTGGCTCTTAACGTCCAGCCATCATCAGTGACTAAGTGGATGTGCATCAAAAGGATGCCACGCACTGTTGTTCTCTGAATGCCACCACAATTCGGAAAAAAGCATTCAGACCAGCAGATGCAAGGTATGTAGGGCGACCATCCTGTGTGGATTCTGTGGAACGACTGTGCCCAGCCTCAGAGTTGTCTTCGGGATGATCCACGTCTTCTTCAGGCTCCTTGCTGTGAAGCATCATGCATTATGAGTGGCGCATGAACATTGTCACGAGCCGCTTGACATACCGCGTGCGCTCAGCTGCATTTGATGTAGCACTGTCTCCCTCACTCTGAGACGCATATAATCTCCCGCATCCCGCATAAGCACTATGACAACTTACGTGAGAGCTATCCCGAGTGCATGGATTAGCATACGTACCACCTTATGCGACCATCTCCGATTTGAACTTCTTTGCCAGTCGTCCCCATCTTGCAGTATGGACACCGAGACGTCTCCGAAAGGACGATGATACTCATATCAAACCTTGAGCCGGCCTTCACGATGTGCGACCACTCTCCACGATCGATGAGGAGCCGTTTGGAGTCACCGAGTCCGTACGTTTCCTGACGCACGTAGTCCTCGCCAAGCTGGCCGCGAAAGGCTTGCACGAGGAAGCTATGTGCCGTCTATGAGCGCGATGAGTGCCGGACGGGTGATAGGCGACTGTGTTGCTACTGACCTCCCAGGTTTTGTAATCATCTTGTAGAAGCTCGAGACTCCGCCCTAGTACATCCACGACGATGACAGTACCATCCGCCCATCCAAGATGTAAATGAATGGATGTTAATTTGTAGAACATGAAACAGAGCAAGAAACCTGCACCGAGTCCGGCAAAGACTGTGAAAGCCATGTCTACGGTCTGAGTCTCATTGGAGACGGTCGATCCGAGTTGTTCATGGTCTGAATGTGGACGCTCCCTATCGACAATGTAAGACAGCATTGCCCCCAGAGCGCGCCAGATGATTGTTTGGTCTTCGCAACTGAACCTCAGCACGACGCGCCGAACTTGACGGCAAGCACTACGAAGTTGCAGCGCAGAGGGGTAGAAGTCCTCGTCGCCATTCGTTCTCTGCCTGGCTTCAGCAGCTTCTAAACAACCCGGGAGACCCTGCATCTCATCGAAAGCTTCATCGTCTAGGCATTGGTTAGAGAAATGGGTTGCATTGCAGTATGCCCTTCAGACGTAACTTACCCCCCCTTCTCGCACTCTCTGCGTGTGCTCGAGGGTCCGAAAGAGAAAGGTCTGCGACTTGAGTATCTGTTTGCGCTGAAAGCTGCGCTACAGACGCTTGGACTATCGATAATCCTTGGTAAGTTGTTTGAGCTTCTAGCGTACGATTTGGACGTACTATTATCTACGCCACTTGAAAGCTGACTTGCAACAACAGAGAGCTCTGCAATTGCCATTCTGTCACGCCTAACTTCGACGTCTTGCAAAGTGCGATTGATGGCCTGGATCTCGCCGCCTCCGTTGAGAAAGAACAACATAAAACGACCTAGAGGATAGCTCAGTAAAAAGAGCCCTGAGTTGTCATACTGACGAACAGCGTGTACTTACTAGAGCGTCTCCTGTGCAACTCCTTGGTCGCCAACCCGAACCCTATCAGAAGTTGCGCGAGTCCTTCCACGGCAATGTCCCGCGTTCCGTGTCCGATGGGCGCCTCAACCCTTACTTGCAATATTTCGACGTATGATTGAAAATGCTTGAATAGAGCATCTATATCGTCGTATATCGCACTTACACCTTCCGCCGCCTGATGAAGAAAGGTCAGAGAGATGCGAGGAATGTGCCAGACACCGCGGCGTACCTTGACAAGCACCGCGATTGCCGCAAATATCCCTTTACCTCCTGGAATGCCCTACGTGCCGTCATCAGTTTCGGCCCCAGGAAACTGACTGAAGTACGCACTAAGGATGAGCCCGTTTCTGCACCTGTCTCTAGCACAACGCGTAGCCCATGCACCAAAGGTCTCAGGACCCTTCGCAGGCTCTGTGACGCCTTACTGCCTTCACGCTTCTTCCTGAACTGCCGCGTTGCCTCCTCAATTGTCTCGACAATCGCATCGGCAGTTTCGCAACTCCGCAGGTCTGCCATCAGAGGCTCGTCCTCGTCGATTTTCGCGCCGACGATTTCCTCATATTTCTCGATGGCGCGATCCCAAAGATCATCGATGGGTAGGCGTCTGAACTGTGGCGACGAATCTCGAGGCGACGAGCCGCCATTCTGGCGCCTGAGCCGAGAAGAGAGGACGTGCGGGCGTCGTAGGGTACTGAGCATGAGGCGGTCGGAGGAAGAGACACGCTCTCATTCGACTCGAGCAGCGCCTGCGAAAGCTGTGTCCTGTCCTTGGGGGCTGGACACAACGTGCGCAAGGCTTCCAGCGCTTAGCGCGGAAGAATGTTAGCGCATTGGAGACCCAGGCGCCCGCACATGAACCACCCAGTTTGGACAGTTCTCGACAGATCGTAAACCTAGCAGCGGCATCTATATGACCGCCCTCTAGCTCTGGGTGCCGAGGGAGAATGTATGCAACTGCACACAGGTCATGGACGTCGTGAGCAGCCATGATGGTGATTATTTGCGCCGACGGCAGATCTCGGACCATCTTGGGGTTAGGGTTAGAACTCTCCCCCGAATCTTCACGATCTTATAATTTATTCAACGCTCCAAGGCGCGGCAAATCATGGGATATCTCTGCGGTAGATCAGATACAGGACTTGGGCTACAACCACGATGACCAAAAGTTTGTATACTCATCCAGCGCGAACCCTATTAACGGAGGCCTTCCGGTGCGCCGCCGCGCCGCCCCCGCTCTCAGAAAACGTTACGATCTAGCCCTTTTAAAAGCGATCCATCTGCGTACGAGAGGTGAGCGGCTGGAGGGAGGAGCCAGAAGGGCGTCGCCGCCGCCACTCAGAGCAGGTGGGGACCGGTGCCAGAATGCCGGGAGGTCGCGCCGGCGCCTCGCTCTGTTGTTGCGTTCAATAATGGTCGGGCTTCGTCGAGTTCTGGATGTCCTGGCCATTACGGGATGCCTGATGCAAGCGTATCCTGGCGAAAGGGGTACTGCGGGCCGCTCGCACTAGGTTAAGACTTGTACCCCTGTGAAAACGTATCCTGAACGGCGAGCCATTCTTAACCAGGTTGATTATTCAACCTGGTAGATTATGTAAACGCTTGGTACGCAGTGCAGTACGAGAGATCTGCCTTCACTCACGCAAATCGAGCTCATGAGATCGAATGCATGCACGTACAAGACCTGCAAGCGTCGACAACTCCCATCAAGATCATGGCGCAACGGATGTCAGTCGTCGGCGCAACGTATTCGGTGTGTGCATGTGCATACGCATTTCTAGCGAAACTACCAGAGAACCATGCAGAAAGCTATACACAAAACGCGCGACGCGGAGACTAGACAGGCAAAACAAGACCCCAACGGGCCGAACTATGGTACTTTCAAAGCACCCGACGAAACGGGGAGAGTCGAGGTACGACGACGGATAGATGGACAGGACTGCGACACACAGAACAATGAACAGAGATCCGGATGATTCAGATGACGGATGGATGAGATGCATGGGTGATGCGAGAGCCCGGTATAGATGTAGAAGGGGAAATGGGCGGGCACGATTAGAGATTATACGGGACGCTAGGGTGCCGTGCCCGTCCTCCGAGGGAGAAACGGGGTCGTCGTGCGTGGTCGTGAGCGGGACGGATATAAGGAAGGTTCGAGTAGGGGGTAAACGGGTTAGAAGGTAAGGGTAGAGGTGGGCCAGGAGAAGGATGAGGGTAGGTAGGTAACGATACAGTCTGGGCGGGCGAAGGTTTGGATTCCGGATGGGAGTGTGATGACGATGACGATGCGAATGCGAAGAGACTATGATATGCGAGAAATGAATGAAAAGACGACGGTGGACAGCGAGGCAGGCAGTGGAGCCTATATCCAAAGGCCTCCTATGCAGACGTCAACGCAACCGCCGCGAGCGGGCTCGACACGCGAGCTTTCCGCGCCGGCGGCCGGCTCTTCGCCGCGCGTTCGTGCCTGCGGATGTGCATGATGGCAACGAGCTGCGGCAGTGCATAGACGCGCTGTCCATCGGCCGGCGCCTGTGCGGGCGGCGATGGCGTGCGGGGCGGGCTGGGCGGAGAAGAAGACAGGGAAGCGGCGGGCGCGGCGAGCTCAGGCTCAGCGGCGTCGTCCGCCATAGCAACGTCAGAGTCTCGGTCGGCTTCGACCTGTCGTGTCTCCTGCTCGTCGAACAGCGCGGGACTGCAGCCCTGCTCGCGGAGACCCCTCAAGAGTCGTTCTGCGAGCTCGCGGTCTGGGTCCTGCGCGCCTTCGATGGCCATCTGTGCCGCCTCGCGCGAGCGCAGTGAAGCGATGATGCTGCGGTGCACATCCGCGGCGAACTGCATGTCTGCCACCGCGCGCTTGCTCTTCTTCGCGCGCTTCGCCACGGGCGCTACCACGACTGGCGGGGCGGCGG